TAAAATGGTACGGTCCACATTAGGGGTGTGTGAAATCATTTTACATAACCTCACCTTGTAGGAAAAGTTTATCTTTTTTTTTTTTTTTACAACAAAAGAAAAATGTTAAGACCTTTCCCAGACTGCTATTTTTGTCTCTTTGGGGGGGTCTGGGTCTTGATCGGGGGGTACAGTAGCCCCCAGTACCCCCCGTAATTCGAATCATGGTCATAATACATGGAGACCCTGCTTGACTCTACCAACACTTTACTCGGGCTGTATCGAACTGATCCTTTCTTCTCTTACAGGTCATATCTCTGGAGGCATCTCCAAGAGGACAGCACCACTTAAAGCTAAGGAGTATTTCTGAACCTACATAGAAATACATACATCACATCAACCTCCGTAAGACCTATATTCCTATAACAGTATAAACAGCACTTCTGGTGTTTAACTTTACAACTCAAAGTATTGGATTGTTAGTATTCTGCTTTTGTTTGCTCATCAACAAAATCAATTTAGTCCTCTTTTTCTTTCAACTTAAAGTCCATGTTGTATTACAACGTAAATGTGCATTTTGTTCTCACACCTGCTGTTTACAAACTGTTTACACATTTTTTTTTTTTACATAACCTAACAGAATCCAAAATGTTCCCTTTAAGGAGAATAACGTGTTGGTGGTCTGATCAGTCTACCCCATCATGACTTCTTCCTTAGTTGGTGTGCCAGGTCTTCCTACTGTTGACAGTGCAGGTGATTGCTTTGGAATGTCGTTCTCCTCAGGTCGACTGTCTTCTGACGGCACGTCGTCTACATCTAAAGGGCGCGTTGATGGAAAATTCTCTGGTTTTCAGCAAGTGTCGTGGATTTATCCTGAAGGTGCTACCATCAGGTGCTTGTATTACAAAGGATCTCGGTTTTTTGTGACTTCTCAAGACGACTGCTGGTTGCCAGTTGTTTCTTACCCACACTGTCTCTCCTTCTGTTAAATGTGGCAACTGTTTTGCTCTGCGCTCAAAATAATTTTTCTGTTTCCACTGCTTGTCCTCAATGCTCTGATATATGTCACCATACAATTGAGGTTCTAACAGCTGTGCTAACGTAGGCAGTTTTGTTTTTAATCTTCGTCCCATGAGCAGCTGAGCAGGTGAGTTTTAATCCATCTAGGGGTGAGTTTCTGTACTCCAGTAAGGTAATGTATGGATCACTGTGCCTTTCTTGGGCTTTCTTCAGCAGGTTTTTTACTGTCTGGATTGCTCTTCCTCTTTGACCATTTGACTATGGGAATCTCGGACTAGATGTAGTACGAACGAGCTCCCAGTTCACTGTGAACGTTCTGAATACTTCACTTGAGAACTGCGGACCGTCGTCTGACATAATGTCAGGAATCCTGTGTTGCGCAAAGATATATTTGAGAGCTGTCACAACATATCCACTTGTCATCTTTTTGAGTTTAGCAATCTCAGGAAACTTAGAAAAGTAATCGACACACAGTAAGTATTCACCTTGGTTGTAGTAGAACAAGTCTACTCCCACTTTTGCCCATGCTCTGTCTGGAATGTCAGGGCAAATGAGTGGTTCTTTGGTGTTATTCTGTTACACACAGCACACTTTAACACAACACTCTCTATTTGCTTCATCATGCCTGGCCAGTACATGACATTTCTTGCCCTCACTTTACATTTGACAATGCATAGGTGAGATTCATGAACTTTGTCCAGCATGTCTGATCTTAAGTTGTGAGGAACATCAAGTCGCAAGTTCTTCAAAATTAGACCATCAGAACAGGTGAGCTCTTCCCTAAACATCCAGTATTTTCTTTTGTCTGCTGGAACTTCTTGTATTTCTGTAGGCCATCCTGTCGTTACTACTGTATGTTCATGACCTTCTGCAATTCTTCATCTGTGACTGTTGCCATCTTGAATGCATTTAGCTTTCTGTGTGATATTGGTAGGTAAGCTGACAAAACATTTACATGTAACTCGTCCTCCAAGAGTGGCTCTAAATGCTCTTTCAGGTAGGCTCGGCTCAATGTTTCTGCTATGTGCAACTGCTTACCCGGCTTGTAGCTGACACGTTGACCATTGGGTTCTGACCTCAAGAGCATTGTTTGTAGCCTCGCAGGAGCTTTGTGAAGTGACTTTCTAAAAACAATCTCTAATGGCTTATGATCTGACTCTACTTGTACTGTCTTACCATAAATGTGGTGGTTAATCTTTTTTACAACTACAGAAAATCGCTAACAGCTCTTTTTCTATGTGAGTGTATCTTAAATGGTCATCAAAGTACTTCAGCACTGGGGCATTGCTTACTAGTGACTTTAGGCGTTCAAAGCTCTTCTGTTGCTCTATCTCCCAATGCCACTCTACCTGTACCTCACTTTCTAAGAGCTTTCATAGTGGTGCACTCACATCGGAGAGGTTTGGCACAAACTTTGCCAGATATTGAAGCATAGCTAGAAACCTCATCAGTGCAATTTTGTCCTTTGGCTCTGGCATGTTCTGTATTGACTCTCTTGGTCTGGTTTCAACCCATCTGCAGTCAGAATATGTCCTAGATATCTGACTTTGGTCATCCTGATTTTACATTTCTCTTTGTACAATTTGAGATTAATGCTTCTAATTCTGTCTAACAATATGGCTTTGTAGAGATATTGTGAGTTTCTTGGGCTTCACTACTGTCACCATGCTATTGACCCAATCTGCGGGCTCAGTTTGCTTCACAATAACTGTAAGATCTTCCATTTTTTCAGTTCATTTCTGACACTCTCCTTCAGTACTACAGGCACCTTCCAAGGTGAGTGAATGACTGGAGCAACCTCTGGGTATAGCTGGATATGGTGCAGTCCTGGTACATATCATAGACCAGTGAACATGTCTTTAAACTTGTTAAAAATGTTTTTTTTTTTTTTATTTTGTGTTTGTTCCCAACATTGTAAACTCTTTTGATAAGTCCCAATTTTGAACATGCTTCTACCCAGGATCGCTGGTAAATCTAGCTCTACAATTTGGAATTCTAGCCGAGACTGACCTTCTTTGCTATTTACACTTCAGCATAGCCGTACCCTTTGGCTCCATCTTGCGGCCAGAATATGTCACTAACTTGCAGTTTGAGTTCAGTAGTGTTTTTTTTCTTTTTGACAGTTTTTTCAAAGTCTTTGTATGGCAGCATGTTACACTCCTGTACACACCTGTACCAGGTATTTGGTGTTCCTGATTAGCTGGGAGCTGGGAGGGAGCAAGAACATGGACAGTCCGGGGTTCCCGGAGGACTGGGTTGGGAAATACTGGTCTGATGAAACAAAAATGGAGCTTTTTGGCAATAAACATTTTTTGGCGTAAAAAGAAGGATGACTACAGTGGTACCTCAGAACTCAAACTTAATCCATTCAGAACTCCGGATCGAATCCTAAAAAGTTCGAGTTCTGATTGAATTTTCCCCATAAGAAATAATGGAAAACAAATTAATTGGTTTCCGGCCCCAAAAAATGACACCGAAATATGTTTTTTTTTAGTATTTAAACACAAAATGAACCGTATAAAACAAGGAAAATGAGAAATGAGGTACCACTGTATAATGAAATTAACCTTATCCCAACTGTAAAATATGGTTGAGGTTCTGTGATTTTGTGGGGCTGTTTTTCCTTCAAAGTCCCCGGAAACCTCGTTAGGGTACATGGCATTATGGACTCCATGAAATACCAGGACATTTTAAATCAAACAAATACTGGGCTGTCACTGGATCTTCCAGCTGAACAGTGATCCTAAGCACATGTCCAAATCAACATAAAAATGGTTAGCTGACTACAGAATTAAGCTTCTGCAATGGCCATCTCAGTCCCCGAACCTGAAGCCCATTGAAAACCTGTTGGTTGAGCTGATGAGCAGA